GTATGTTCTGTTGTTATTGGATGAAGTGTTCTATAAATGTTGATCAGGTTAAGTTGATAATGTTCAATTCTGTATTCTTACTGATTTTCTGCCTATTTGTTCTATCAATTATTGAGAGACATTGACATCTTCTACTATGATTGTGGATTTTCTATTTCTCTTTGCAGTTCTATAAGTTTTTGCTTCAGGGATTTTGAAGCTCCAATGTTAATTTCATAAACATTTAGGATTGATATATACTCTTGATAAATGGACCATTTACCATCATGAAATGATTTTCTTTACACCTAGAAATATTTTTGGCTCTGAAATCCATTTTTGCTGATTTATTTATTTATTTATTTGTTTATTGTGGTAACATTGGTTTATAACATTGTATAAATTTCAGGTGTACATCATTATACTTCTATTTCTGCATGGATTACATCATGTTCTCATGTTCACCACACAAATACTAATTACAATCCATCACCACAAACATGTGCCTATCCCTTTTGCCCTCCTCCCTCCCCCCTTCCCCTCTGGTAACCACCAAGCCAATCTCTGTCTCTATGTGTTTGTCTGTTGTTGTTATTATCTACTACTTAATGAGTGAGATCATATGGTATGTCACATTCTTCCTCTGACTTATTTCTCTTTGCATAATACCCTTAATGTCCATCCATGTTGTCACGAATGGCTGGAATTCATCGTTTCTTATGGCTGAGTAGTATTCCATTGTGTATATATACCATATCTTCTTTATCCATTCAACCCGTGATAGGCACTTATGTTGCTTCCAAGTCTTGGCTGTTGTGAATAACGCTGCAATGAACAGAGAGGTGCATGTATCTTTATGCATTGGTGTTTTCACATTCTTTGGATAAATACCCAGCAGTGGAATAGCTGGATCGTATCGTAGTTCTATCCTTAATTTTTTGAGGAGTCTCCATACTGTTTCCCATAGTGGCTGCACCAGTTTGCACTTACGCCCGTCAGAATGGCTATAATCAACAAGACAGGAAACAAGGGTTGGAGAGGAAGTGGAGAGAAGGGAACTCGCACACACTTTTGCTAATTTTAATATGGCCAGTATGGCTTTCTTTTAATTGGTGTTAGCATGGCATATCTTTTTCCATCCTTTTACTTTTAGTCTATTTTTTGACTTTATTTAGGCATCATACAGTTGAATTTTACTTTTCAATCCAGTCTGCCAATTTCTGCCTTTTAATTGGGTGTGCTTAGACTACTTACATTTGATGTAATTATAGATACAGTTGGGTCCAAATCTATTACCTTGCTCTTTGTTTTCTGTTTTTCCCATCTATTCTTTGTTCCTTTTTCATCTCTTTATGGCTTCTTTTGGATTAAGTGAATATTTTTTACAATTCCACTTTACTTAGTTAGCTTATTAGCTGTAACTCTTTGTTTTGTTATTTTAGTGGCTGTTTTAGTTTTATAGTAGTTAGCTCGTCATAGTCTACCTTCAAAAGACATTTCACCACTTTACATATAGTACATAAACTTTATAACAATACTCTTCCATTTCTCTTCTCACCCTTTGTGTTACTATTGTCATACATTTTCCTTTTACATATGTTATAAACTCCACACTACATAGCTATTATTCTTGTTTAAACAACTGGCTTTTAAAAATACTTAAATAATGATAAAAATTATATATTTACTTATGTAGTTACTGTTTCTGGTGCTCTTCACTCCTTGTGTTGATCTATATTTCCATCTAATATCATTTTTTTCTGTCTGAAAGACTTTCTTTACCATTTCTTGTGGCATGGGTCTACTGGTGATGAATTATTTCAGCTTGTAAAGATGAAAAACATCTTTATTTCTTCTTAGTTTTTGAAAGATATTTTTGCTGGTTAAAGAAATTTAAGTTGGAAGTGTCTTTTTCTTTCAGTATTCAATAATGTTGCTCCACTGTCTTCTTGCATGCATGTTTCTGACAAGAAATCTGTTGTGCTGTCTTTGTTCCTCTGTACGTAAGAGTCTTTTTTCTCCTCTGGCTGCTTTTAAAATTTTCTCTTTATCACTGGACTTGGACAGTTTATTGTGATATGCCCATTACAGTGTTATCCATGTTTCTTGTGTATGAGGTTTGTTGACCTTTTTGGATCTGTGGCTTTATAATTTTCGCTGTTTCAAAATTTTTAAGCATTATTTCTTCAAATGTCCACTGTTTTTTGGAAGACTTTAATCACACATGTATAAGGCTGCTTGAAGTTCTCCCATGGCTCACTGATGCTCTTTTTATTTTCTTTAATTTTTTTTCTCACTCTGTGTTTCATTTTGGGCAGTTTCTAGTACTATATCTTCAAATTTACTAATCTTTTTTTCTGCAATGTCTAATCTGCTATTAATCCCATTCAGTGTATTTTTTTAAAATATTATTTGTTGTAGTTTTCATCTCTGGAAGTCAAATTTGGGTCTTTTCTTAAATATATTTCTTGCCTCTACATAGCTTTTTGACCATACAGAAAATATTTACCATAACCTTTTTTTTTTTTTTTTTTTGGTTAGGAAGATTGTCCCTGAGCTAACATCTGTGCCCATCTTCCTCTATTTTGTATGTGGGATGCCGCCACAGCACGGCTTGAAGAGCAGTGTGTAGGTTTGTGCCTGGGATCCAGACCTGAGAACCCTGAGCTGCAGAAGTGGAGTGCATGAACTTAACCACTATGCTACCAGGCTGGCCCCAGTATCATAATTGTTTTAATGTTCTAGTCTGCAAATTCTAGCAGCGTTATCCATTCTGGTTTGATTTCAATTGATTAGTTTTTCCCCTCATTGTGAGTTGAATTTTTCTACTTTTTCCGTATTAGGTAATGTTTTATTCAATTCCAGACATTCTGAATTGAACCTTGCTGGGTTTAAAATTTTTTTTTATTCCTTTAAACATTCTTAAGCTTTAGTCTAGGATACTATTATGTTGCTAGGAAACAATTTGACACTTTGGGGCTTGCCTATAAGATTTGTTAATGGGGTCAGAGCAGCATTTAGTCTAGGGCTAATTATTCCCCATCCCTGTGCTAAGACTATTCTGCATACTCTACCCAATTCCTCATGAATTGTAGGTTTTTCCATGTTGGATGAAGGGAAAAGTCTCTCTTCCTGGTCCTGTATAAGTACTGGGCAGTGTTAACTCTAATCCTTTCATCATCCTTTCCCCAGGATCAGATAGTTTCCTCATATACATGTACTGATCAGTACTCAACTAAATACTCAAAGGGAACCCTCTGCAGATGTCCAGTGTGCTTGTCTCTCTCACTCCCTATCTATCTAAATATGCATGTGTAGATTGTTTCACATATTTTGTCTGCTTTTCAGCTGTTTCAGATGGGAGAGTAAATACACTTTCTTTTTCTTCATCTTTAGTGGAAGCAGAAATTTCTTGCTCCCTACAGTTTTTATCTTTATAATTTTGCACTAGTCTATTATTTCCACTTCCCTGCTATTTTTTTTCAATTAGGCTTTTCTTATACTTTCAGTAGATTTTTGAATAGCATTCTACTTTCTCTGCATTTACTCTTGCTGTCATTTCTATTTTCTCCCCTGCCTCCAATCATCCTCAATATGGCCACCACGGTAAGACATGTAAAACACAAAATATCTTCTCTATATTCCTATTTTTAAAATCATTTAATGTTATTGCTTGTCTATAATATAAAGTTTACATTCTTTAGCATGGTACATTATGTTCTTTATCATGTAGTCTTTGTTTACCTCTGCAACAATAACAACATTATCCACAACATTTACCACAATAACAAAAAATAGATATTATCGAGTGCCTACCATTTGGTAGGGACTGGTGGGTGTCTTGTTGAAAAAGAAGACACAGTTTGTATCCTTGGCATATTAAGACAAACAATAGATAATTATAAAAAGCATGAGTTACAATCTTCAAAGTACCAGTTACCATGAGTGTATATTTTCTGGAATAATTAAAGTTTAGAGTTATTTTTCCTGGTGAAGTGGTGTTTAACTGAGACATAAAATGTATATGAGTAAGAGTTAGCTCAGTGAAAGACAGTGGTGAGGAACAATGTGTATAAGAAATTTGGCATGTCCAAAAAATGGAAAGCCAGTGCACCATTGTTGACTGCATTATAGTGAATGTCTCCTTGGAAGACTGGAAGTGCTTCTTTAATTCCCCAATTCTGGCCCACTACTAACACCCAACAATATTTATGCCATAATGAACTATCACATTTCCATGTTTTTACATGCCTATATTCTTTTGTATGTGTTGCTTGTTATGCTTTAAATCCCTTTATTTATTTATTTATTTTCATTTTGGCAAAGTCCTTCTCATATTTTAGGACACAATTTAAGCATCTTCTCACAAAAAAGAGTTTTCTGATTGTCCCTTCCTGTCTCCCAGTTGACATGACCACTTCTTTCTTGATTTTTCACCCTATGCTGAACTTAAGTTCATTATTGCTGCATTGTGGATCTCTCTTGCTTGAATTTGAGGTATTTAGAGCTAAAATTATGTCTTGTGAATTTTTATTTCACCATTTATAGAATCTGTAATAGTCATGGCTAGCTTTATTGCTGTTCTCCATGCCATTAAGAAAGAAATACAAGTGCTGTCTACAATCTACACAAAATTATTTATTAGACACATTTGACTATGGAAATAATATTAAAAGTGTTATACAATAAAACATTATTTAATTATGTTTTGCCTATTTTACTTTAGTTTTTGACTTAATTTAACTGCATAACAATTGTTATTTTTATTTCTATTAGTCCAAGCAAAGTGCAGAAATTTAAAATATTCAGTTCAACAACAACAATATATGAGTAAATATTTCCCCTTAATTTTTGTAAATCCATAGTGAATATTTCCTAATCTCCTTTGGTTGTTTCATGTCCCGTATTGAAGAAAATATAAGTATGAAAGGGAACTTCACTCTTTTAATGACTTCCCTTTTTTGGTTGACTCCACCTCCATTACGTAACCTTTCTGTTTTTTTCCGGAGGTGAGATGTTTTTAGAATTCTTAGTGGTTCTCTTCTTTGGGAGAACATTTCTAGGGAATAATACAACGAGATATAGGAATCATAAAACTTTGGAACGGACAAACTCAGAATGGTGCTACATGAAAACTCTGGATCTGCTGGTAAAAGCTTCTCATTTATCCTTTAATGGAGTATAGCATTATTCTGACACTCAGTGGATCTGATTTAATAGTGATTGGCATCAGAAGAGCGAGAAATGGGAAGAGGGCATTAAGCTTATATGGCAGTATCTTTTATCTGCCATAGACTCAAAATTGAAAATGTGAGATAAGAATTAGTTTTGGCAGCAATTTTGTAAAACTGCTGAAATGAAATTAAGGAAGGAACTGAAATTAACTGAACTGTATTAAGTATGAAAACAATAGTTGTTAGAAAAGATAGAATATGTAGGAATGAATATTAATTGAAATTTGATTACCTAGAGGAAATTTAGAATAACATCTCTGTGTGTTGAAATCTACTTTGTGATTTATGTGGACATGTTAAACTCATTTAGCATCTTTACTTTTTATTAAATTTTTCAAGCTTTTTTACTGATGAATAACATACCACATGAAAGTAGAAGTCCTAAGTGCACAGTTCAGTGACTTATCCTGAAGTGAGTGCTCCTGTGTGGCTACCATAGCATTTTTACTTTTAAATTAGTGTTGGGTTAGAGTATGAAAGAGAAATGAAAGTGATAGCTTTAAAGAGTGTTTTATGCTATATCTGGAGATAGGATCCAATATTGGGGTTTTTCCAAAAAAAACACTGTCAGTGTATTCCATCAGTGTTTTGTTCGCCTACTATTTAGCTGGCCGTACCAGGTACTAGTAAAACTATGGTGAACACGATAGAATAACCCATTCCCTCATGGAATTTACCATCTAACAGTGTGGATCAGGTGGGCTCAGAGATAGGGCCATCAGTAGTTGAATAGTGCTTTGTGCCCCCAGGAAGAACTGCCTATTTCTAAGTTTCATTGATGCATTTTCAATCTTCCAGGTTTTAAGTTCTGCTCTTGCAATTTTTTTCCTTCCATTACTTTCTTCTACGTACTCACCCCTACGTTGCCTATAAAAACGAACATTTTCAAAGCTATTTCACTATACTGTCCTGGTATGAATTTTTCCCTGCCTACCTTGCCATTTAGAAGGAAGGAATTTCTGTCTTCGTTTGACCTTCTTTGTGAATCTCAAACCTCTGAAACCTGTCTTCTCCAAAGTGTCTTTTTGGGAAGACTATATTTTTGTCCTCTTTCTTTTTTTCACAGACTTTAGCAGATGTTTTGTCCACTTGAGTTCCTTCCCTATTGCTGTGGTCTCAGTTCTCAGTGCCTGTTTGATCACCAGTTCTCTTGGTGAGTACTTTGTCAAATATACTTGCAGCCGTAGCCACTCAGACAAGAATCATTGAAAAGCAAATAATTCTCCTGAGGGCTAAATAGCATCTAAAATCATGCTACATGGTTTCAAATGGTTAGATATTAAACGCATAAAATAAGAACCTAACCATGAGACAAAAAAAAATGAACAAAATATCAGCACAGTTCCCTCAAAAGTAAACTCTTACAGGGAAAAAAATGCATTTTACTCAAAGAGTTGAAATAATGTCTAACTAAAAAATAGGGAGAAACTGAAGAATTATTAAGATGAAAGGGAATTTTAGGAACACTTTAACAAATTCAAATACCAATAATTTATCTAAAAATGTATTGAAGGAGGCCAGATAAATATCAGTGGGAACACAGGTTCCTACATTAGCTAAAATAATCACCAGGCGGTAGCTGAGATATTTGAGAAGGGTGGGGGGACAGGGGATTATTTTATGGTAGAAGGTAATAGAAAATATTTCCATCTCATTTTCCATTTAAGTAGATAAGTTTCAGTTAGATTTCAACTAGTATTTAAAAAATTCATGGTATTTTACATATATGTGTGAAATGTGTGTTAAATTTCTTATAACTGCTCTTTTCTTCCTCACCTCCTGCCTTCTTTCTATTGACTTTAAGATTTTGGAGAAACTTATGTACATCATCCTTATAAAATTTTGTAATATCTTATTTAAATAGTAAACTTTATAATGAATACCAGCCATAAAATAGAGATATCATATAGTATTGTGTTGCTTATCTTTGCCAGCTTTATGTCATTACTTACTTTGAAGCCTGTGATACTGATGTTTGTACTTGAATTCCTATGAAATAGCATTCTTCTACTGAACCATGGATGGGTCTAGGAATGTTTCTGAAATCTGGCTTTGAAAAATAAAGTGGTCTAAAGAATGATAATTCTCTGCTTGCTCTTTGGATCTTGACCGATTGCTGCCTTTACCCATTGTTGCAGGAGGAACAGACAAGGAGCTGAGACTAACAGCTGGCAAAGACAAGTGTACTGGGAGAGTGGAGGTGAAAATCCAGGAGGAGTGGGGAACTGTGTGTAATAATGGCTGGGACATGGATGAGGTCTCTGTGATTTGTAGGCAGCTAGGATGTCCAACTGTTATCAAAGCCCCTGGATGGGCTAATTCTAGTGCAGGCTCGGGACGCATTTGGATGGATCATGTTTCTTGTCGAGGGAATGAATCAGCTCTCTGGGATTGCAAACATGATGGATGGGGAAAGCATAACTGCACTCATCAACAGGATGCTGGAGTAACCTGTTCAGGTAAGACTTGCTAAGTCAAAGCCTCAACATAAAATGTTTTGTGGGAAAAAATATTTAGATGGGTTAAAAATGAAAAGGAGCCAGTTTTCTGTAAGTAATTTAGTCCACAAATAAAATTACCCAATCCCTTGCTGAAAGACCAGAAAACACATGACAAAGTCTATATTAAAAAAAAAAAATCAAGAGATTCTGAACACTAACAATCAATGAGGAAGTGACTAGCTTCACTTTTATATTTAGTAATCCTACTATAAGCTCCAATTCCTACATAAAAATATCATGATATCTAGGTTAATTCTTTGTTCCCTTTCCCAGTAACATGTTGCTTTCATACATTGACTCATAAATCATGAGCTTTTTGTCCATTAACTGATAATCAACTTACTGAATTAAGAAATAAATATTCCTAACACTAATCTGTCTTTGTTGGAGGAAGGCTGTTTTGCAAAGTATAATTGTTTTTTCCACTGTACAATGCTAATCATTTCATTTACATGGTAGCTTTAATTTTATGAGACATTTCATAAGTCTTAATTCAGTAGATCTTACCATAACTCAGAAAGTTATGTGTCAGACCTTTCTGCTGAAAAATCCCAAAGTCATGTTTCTGACCCAATTCTGATTCCCGGGCTTGCCATTTCTCCTTGGTCATTTCATTGGCTTTTATGCAACTCTCTCACCTCCCAGCCTCTCTCTTAGAAACCATCTCTTCCATAGGACTGATTTTAGACAGGACTAATCTCTAGCTAAGCATTGTGGTATAATAGGAGGGACACAGTGAATTTATTAAAGTGTTCCTAAAATTCCCTTTCATCTCAACAATTCTGCAGTTTCTCCTTATTTTCTAGTATCTAGAAAAATGCTGGACTAAATTCCAGCCTAACCACTCATTAATGCAATTATTTTGAGCAAGTTGTTAAATCTTTCTAAACTTCAGTTTCTGAGGACTCAGTAATATAACACGTGTAAAACTACTGGTACACTGTCTGGTATGTAATAGGTGTTAAAAATTAATATTCGTTTCCTCATGGCTCACTGCTTCTCATTACCTTGACAACTCAGTTCTCTTGTTCCTTCTCTTCCTCTTCTTCCTCCTCCTCCTCCTCCTTCTTCCTCTTCTTCCTGTCTTTTATTGTTAATCATTATGAAGGAAAAGACAGGGAATAAGAATAGTAACGTCTACATTAAACGACAGCAAAGTTAAAAATCACAATAAATCGTGCCAGGCTCTTGCTATAATTATTGCTGTGTATAGAGTTGACTCTTGAAGCTAAGACATGAGTGTTGTACTTTTAACTCTTGTTTTCTGTTTTTTATACCAAAGGATGGAGTTGATAAAACTTGCTTTTTGAAGTTTATACACTTAAAGCTCTAACTGGTGCATAATAATAGGAAGGGATGCATAGCTACTCCAGGACTCACTAGTTTCTTGAGGTTTCAGAGTCAGCATTTCTGAGATTCTCCACCCTGATTAATGTTCAATCCTCAGAACCTCAACCTCTTGGGAGATTTTATTATTATCATAAGCACTGGGGCAACATAGCATAATAGTAAAGAGAATAGACTCTAGTGCTAGACTGCTTTTTTCCCTCATATCCTGGCTCTACTGTTTTCTAGGTGTTTGATCCTGTGCCAATTGTTCAACCTCAGTTTGCTTATCTGTGAAGTAGGGATAGTGGTAATAACACATAATACTTAATGCTGTTGTGAAGACTTAAGAAGACAGCTTATGTGGTACACTTGGAACAGCATATGCATATTTTGATTGAGAGCTCTTATTATTATTATTATTGTTCATAATTAAAAATCTTAAGTGGAAGTCTTTGCCTGGAGTTTTGAGCTTTTAAAATTGCATTACTATTTCAAAAAAAGCTTCTAAACATTTTGTTCAACCACAAACAGTTTTTGTTTTTTGGGTGTCCCAAAATTTCATCCTAAATCTCCTTTTCTCAGATATTTTAGTCCTCATAGAAAATTTAAGGGATGGGGTATAGAGAGAATTTTCTTTACGAAAAAGTTGTTCTTTGCTAAAAATGGTGCCAGATGCTTTGGGGAGGGAATAAAAAATCTTTGATTCAAATAGGAAATTGTTAAGAAAGGAATTATTTTGACTGAGTTTTTTCCTCAACTTTTAATAATTTGATATACCATAGGGTGCTTTTGCAAACTATTATGCGTACTTATGCATTTTTATTTTTTGCTTTTTCCTGTTTTCTAATTTCAAATTCAACCTCAGGCAATTATTCATACTCCTAACTATCTGTAATAAAGATTAAAATAAAGATTTTAAATGTTAAACAAATGACCAATTTGTTATTTTTACTACTTTGTTGTATGCACCAATTTTATTTTTCTCTAGTTTTTAAACTAAATAGTTTGAGACAAATTTATCTATTTCTACATAAAAGAGTGTTTACTTTGTGTTAGTAATGAAAGAAAACAAAACAAAGTAAATTTTAATCTGTAAAACATTTCCCTTGGTAAGTAGATGTAGATGAAAGTCCTAATTGTTAGCTTGTTTTTAAACGATTAAAATTTTCCAATATGTGAAGATGGACAACATCCAAAATGAGGCACCATTTTTAAGGGCAGCATCAAATCTCAAGTGTCCGGAGGAATCTTATCTTCTAAAATCACTTCAGAATGAATAACGCTTGCAAACTCTGGTCTTTTCTCTGCTCTAGATGGATCCAGTTTGGAGATGAGGCTGAGGAATGGAGGACACAGGTGTTCAGGAAGAATAGAGGTCAAATTCCAAGGACAATGGGGAACAATATGTGATGATAACTTTAGCTTGGATCATGCTTCTGTGGTTTGTAAACAACTTGATTGTGGAAGTGCTGTCAGTTTCTCTGGTTCAGCTAATTTTGGAGAAGGTTCTGGACCAATCTGGTTTGATGATCTTGTATGCAATGGAACTGAGTCAGCTCTCTGGAACTGCAAACACGAAGGATGGGGAAAGCATAACTGTGATCATGCTGAGGATGTTGGAGTGATTTGCTTAGGTAAGGACTGATCTGGGTTCACTCTGTTCCCCATGAGAGGACAGAAGAAAGGGGGTAAGAATCTTAAAATGCTGAAATCAAAAACATAATAAAGTCTGCTTCCTTTATCACTTTACTATTACCTAATTTCAGGTTTCAGTTCTGATACCTGTGGAGATTTTACCTCAACTGAAATAGGATAAATAGGTTAGGGAGGAAGGAGGAACAGTGAAATTGAGGTCGAAGTCATGAGGATAGAAGGAGGTGTTTAGAGAATAGTCCAGTCCCTCCCCTAAAAAAAGGAAAAAGAAAAAGAGCTTAACTAGCAAATTTTGCTTTCTAGATGAGTTTTAAAAGCAAATCACTCCCCTTATCCTCCACCTACAAAAGTCTCTTCTTTAGCCCCATTAATCCGCCCCTTCCCAAACTATTAGTTCAAATTCACAGATTCAAATGATTAAAAAAAATTTTTGGTTTCCTGTTGAAACCTTATTTATGCTAGTGCTATGGTACAAGGAAGCACTATGTCTGTCTAGAGACGAAATTTCAAGTTCCCTGCTTGATTAGGGGGATGGGGACTACGGATTTGTGTGTGCAGGGAGGCTACTCTCGTTTTTCTGCTTGAGTTCTTGGTTTAAAGAAGACTCAGTATGTCTCAGACTCCATGGAACATTTAGGAAAATATAGTTAGAGTAAAAATGTCCCTGTATTTACCAGGTTTTTTTTTCTTTTTTTTTTTTTTTTTTTGCAAATGAAGGAAACTCAATTCAAACTACCTTTAAAATAAGACAATAGTGACTCAGAAACTGGGAAATCCAGAAGGTACAGTTAGCTTCATATGTGGCTCATGTGGGAGATCAAGATTTGTCCACCCTGAAATATATGTCTTTACCTTATTGTTTTCTCTGACAGACATTTGACCTCCCCCACTAACTGCCTAAAGAATTTGACATGGAAGATCTGTTCCAGGAAGGAGTTACTATCTGATGGCTGTAATATAATGTAAAATAGATGTTACAATAGGAAAGGCACCAATAAGCCCATCTTATCAAAAATTCTATCTCTCTGGCCACATTCTCTAGATCGCCCTGAAAGGAGTTGCCAGACAAACATTTACATTTATAAGGGAAATCTCCATTTGTAAAGGTATCTCCCTCTCTGTATTGGGAAGAGGGGGTATGACCTCATTTCTAGAAACTTATCAATGTGGAAGGTGAGGCCTTAAATCTGCATAATAACCTTACCCTTGTTTACTGTGCTTTAGTGGTAATCTCCTGTAACTGACTCCCCCCACCCCCAACATCTTCCTTTGTCTTTAGCTGAAGATGGTATTTAAGACAAGAATTTCTGCTATTGTGTTGAGAAACTCAGTGTCCCTAGTTTCTCCCATGTATACATATTATTAAACTTGGTATTATTTTCTCCTGCTAACCTGTCTTGTTAATTATTTGGCCAGCCATAAGAACCTTAACGGAAAGAGCAGAGGGGGATTCTCCCTCTTCCCCCACACTGGACTCAAGCACTTAAACAATGTTATCAGAGTTTTGGCTCTTTGTCTGTTTCTTGAGTTGGCTTTTTTCTTGTAGAACAACATGGCCATTGATAGTCTGAACCACAAAGAATGGGATTCCTACAGAAAAGATGGATTTCATTAGCTGAAGAAAGTGAAAGGGATTTGGGGTAGAAAAAACATGGCATGTACCTTTCATTTTCCTTTACCCATCAAAATCTTTCTAGGTCCCCGATCAGCACTTGTCTTCTCCATGTGTTTTATACATGTTGAGGAATCACGATAAACAGTATCACAGCAACAAAAACTAAAACTGCAAGAGGAAAAAAACAATTTGTTTATTACAGGATATTACTCAGAATCAAGTTCTGTTCTTTGAAGAATACTGATTGAGGGAAGGTGAAAATAGTAATAGGGAGGTCCCTTTTCTCTTTTCTTTGCTTTTAAACTAAGGAAGTGGTCACAAAGGGGCAAGGTATATAATACAAACCAGGTCGTATAGATAGGTAATGCAGTCAGAGGCAAAAGTGTGTGTTGAGTATTGAGGCAAACTGGAGTGTGTGGGTACCACCTAAACATGCGGAAATATATATTTAACAACAAAAGCTCAGTGGTCAAACAAGCAAATTTCTAGATAAAATTCAGCCTCTGAACCTCCTGTTAGGAACTCTTCCTATAGCACATGCTCTCCTTACTGAAAAGTCCTGTCTTCTTGCCTGATCCTCTCCTCCATCTTTGATTTTAAGTGGTAGTATGTTACTGCTCTCTCTGTGTCTACTTATATCGCCCATTTTTTCCTTAACTCTTCTCAGGTACAGCTATTTAGGGTCCCCGTCTTCTTGTTGTTTCTTTATCACTGACTTGTTTTGTTTGTCTCTTACAGAAGGAGCAGATCTGAACCTGAGAGTGGTGGATGGAGTCACTGAATGTTCGGGAAGATTAGAAGTGAAATTCCAAGGAGAATGGGGGACAGTTTGTGATGACGGCTGGGATAGTAGTGATGCTGCTGTGGCATGTAAGCAACTGGGATGTCCAACTGACGTCACTGCCATTGGTCGAGTTAATGCCAGTGAGGGAACTGGACGCATTTGGCTTGACAGTGTTGCCTGCCAAGGACATGAATCTGCTCTCTGGAAGTGTAAACACAATGAATGGGGAAAGCATTATTGCAATCACAAAGAAGATGCTGGTGTGATGTGTTCTGGTAAGTTAAAACGAAACAAAAAGAAAAATGGAGAGGGAAGGACCTGCGGTCTTTGGGAGTAAGGATAGGTATGAGGTGTGAGAGATACAAATATCTATTCATATTCTTGTTAGGAATTCTTTTACAGTTGTGAGGTCTTTTTAACACATTGTTTACTTGACTAGTTTGGAGTGTTGTCTGACTCTACTTTCTGTAATAATTTTTCATATTGCTGTTAGGGACCACACTTCGAATTCTAAATCCACTTGGAGCTCTGAGAGACAAAATGTTATAGGGCTGGGCTGGCCTGGGGGTGTAGTGGTTAAGTTTGCGCTCTCCACTCCGGCAGCCCAGGGTTCCCGGGGTTCAGATCCTGGGCGCGGACCTACACACTGCACATCAAGCCATGCTGGGGCAGGCATCCCACATATAAAATAGAGGAAGATGGGCACAGGTGTTAGCATAGGGCCAATTTTCTTAAACAACAACAACAAAAGTTTATTAACCCTTGAAACTATAATCCCATTTATAACTAAATTTATGGTCCACACCGGCTGTTAAAAAAGCCAGGATATGGGTAAGCCACAATTTCCAGTGTCTCAGTATCTGGGAAGGAGCAAGATAAAAAAAATATCCTTTGGGACCTAACTTCCTTATGTATTCATGGCCTAAGTTTATGTTTCTTTTGCAGATGGATCAGATCTGGAACTGAGACTTATAGGTGGAGGCAGCCGCTGTGCTGGGGCAGTGGAGGTGGAAATTCAGAAACTGTTTGGGAAAGTGTGTGACAGAAGCTGGGGACTGAAAGAAGCTGATGTGGTTTGCAGGCAGCTGGGATGTGGATCTGCACTCAAAACATCCTATCAAATTTATTCCAAAATTAAGACAACAAACACTTGGCTATTTTCAGGCAGCTGTGATGGAAACGAAACTTCTTTTTGGGACTGCAAGAATTGGCAATGGGGTGGACTTACCTGTGATCCCTATGCAGAAGCCAAAATTACCTGCTCAGGTAAGACTTTCAATCAATGTGTTAAGAAGTTGAATTCCAAGAGCATAAATTTCCAATAATATCCTCGAAATGGATGAGAAACATTGATCCCTATGACTAGATCTTTCTCAAAAAAACAGAAAATATCTATTCCATTGTGAGAGTGTCAGATAAATTTGTAATTCATTTTGTGCCTTGGACATAGGTGTTTGTTTTTCGCTCATTTTAACGTTTGAGTAATTTTTAAATACGTGGAAATGTGAAAGATTAAGGAGGATTAAAATTTTTAAGGTAAAACTTAAATATGTCTTTCATGGGAATGTGACCAAATGATTTAAAAAATAACTGTTGGATAAACTGGCATGACTGAATCTTAGGCTCCCTCTATCTTACTACAAAAGACATTTCTTCTTTCTGAACATTTTTGTGTATTTCACTACAACCCCTTTAAAAAGCTCAAAAGTGAGCTGTGAGTTGGCTAGTTTGTGGATAATCTCTGGTATTTTATGCTAATAGCACTTATACAAATGCTAACTTCGTTGAAAAGTGATGCCTTTTCAACAACGGTAAGTTAATCTATTGACATAACTACTGGTATGGTGAAAAGGAAGACAGAGAGAAAAATGTAAGAGCAAGACCATTAACCATCTGGAGAGCTAGTCATAGGGGGGAAACTCATGTGCTGCCTGTCCACGAACCAACGGGCCGCCCTAGACACATCCTGACCCAGGCGTGCTCCTAGGTTCATTCCCTGATATTACAAATTGTGTCTACCTCTGGTTACATAGAAATTATCCTCTGATTGAAAAAAGACACTCTTTTAAGATATAAATTTCAATTGTTTTTATATATACATTTGTTTTTTAATCTTTCTTCTTTTTTTTTGTTTAAAGAGATTTTTTTGATTAGGCAATATACTCACATGGTTTAAACTTCAAAATATGAAAGTGTAAACTCTTCCTCCATTACTGTTTCTAGCTATCCAGTTCTACTCCCCATAGACAACTTATGTGGTTGGAGTATTTACATGTTCTTCAAGAGATATTTCACATAAATACAAGAAAATACAAACAAATCCATATATAGGTTTCACCCCATTTATTATCCAAATGGTGGCATATTATATAAACTCTTCTGTACCTTGAATATTTACTTAGTAAAATATCTTGACCATAATTTCATATCAGTCTTTAAAGAGCTTTCTGAAATTACTTCTGTATCCATGATATTTCTCTTCTTATCATTTATTATTGTGTGCATTTATTTATGCTTTTAACTTATTAGATAAAATTAGCTATTAACTTAGCTTTTTTTTCCTTAAAGAACTAACATTGGGATTTTTTAGGATTAATACTATCTTTGTTTTCTAATTCATTAAGATTTGTTTTTCTTTCTATTAATTCACTTCTGAAAGCCTAAAGTTTGGTTTCTTTTTTTCTCTTATCTTCTTGAGTTGGATGCTTAATTAATTTTGATTCTTCCTGATTTATTAATATAAATATTTGAGGTTATAGGTTTTCCACTGAGTGTGCCAGTAGCTATATCGTCTAATTGCTGAAATGATGCTGTGTGAATCTGGGACATAGATCTTCCTGTGACTGTTACATGGTCATTGTGAATTGCTCTTTTTAGTATTATAAAGTTTCCATCTTTTTATAGTTGAGTGATTTTTATTCTGAATCAAACTTGTCTGATATTAATATCACTACTATGGCTTATTTATTTTCTATTTTCTTATTTTCAACCTCTATGAGTCATTCTGTTTTAGGTGCATCACTTGTGCTCATCATAGAATTGGGATTTATTTTAAAAAGCACTCTGATTAAATTACTTTTTGAGATGAGAGATATAGTTGACCTTGACTTAGTCATATTAGTCATTATGTTATCCTATTATGTATACATAATATTTATTCTCATGTATTATGCTACAACTAAAAATATTTTTCACTAATATGGCCTCTTTGGGGACTTTGCATGTGTTTGGGCATACTTCTATGTCTGATATTTTCTTCTAAATTTAGAAAGGTTTGTATATTTTCCTATGAATCGTCTTTTGTATTAGTTAACACTAAGTTCAGCTGAATTTGAAAGAAAATCGAAGAATTGTTGAAGAAAAAGTTTATTTTTTTCTCATTTAAAATAAGTCAAATAGATAAGCAGTTTAAAGCTGTTTTGGTGGCTCTCTGGTTACCAAGAAACACCTAGAGTTGTTTTTCTGCAGTAATTATCAAATCCTACTGGATGAGAATGATGAGTTGCCCTGCAACTGAGTTCGTTCCTTGGTAAGCCAATCTGATAGACCAGGCTCTACCTTCTGAGAAATTGTCCTCTGTCTGTTGTCCTTCATGGGCCCAGGTGTTGTTCTCAGGGCAGTTCTTCGTAGTGAGTTGTTCTCCATAGTCTGACCTGAGTTCAGTTTGGAGAGTATACCCACACCTTTCACGACCCACTTTCTGATGATACTGGTGTAGGGACCCTTGGATGGCTCTAAGGGTTGAGTAATCATTGGCTGATGTCAGCTGCCATCAAAGTCAGCAAAACAATTCTCTGTAAGCTTAGTAGGTTTCTAGGCTATTTGTTTTAATTGAATGCCATGTGAAAGTAACCACAGTCAAAGAATATATTTACATACTTTGATCTATGCTGTGACCAGCCCCTTCCTCTTAATTTATTGGCCACTGCCCTAAAGTCATTTGAAACCATGAGTTTGGGAGGAAAGACAAGACCTAAATCCTGTCTTTGCAGGTAGGCTCATTGTCTTTGTATATAGAGCATCAATTTTATTTTCTGCTAAAGCTGCAGTTTTATCACCACCTCAATTTGGGGAACAGGACACTTAGGGTATTTTTTTTTTCAATCCTGCAAGTTTCAAATTATAGGATTCATAATTAACTACATATAGTAGCTGCAGGCAGAGCATGCCTCCCTTACAAAACTGGTAGTTTTCCTTCCGTTTCTTCTTGCAGTCTGGCTACTTCTAGTCTGAGTTTCTCTCTTGCTTGTAAGCGCTAAAAGTGGCAAGAAGGCTTCATGTCATGCCAACATTATGATTTCTTTTTCCAGTTTTTGATACTTTTCCCAATGTTCTCCAATTTTTCACCTTTAGTGAGCACACTCACTAAAGTGTTTTCTTTTCAAGGTTTTCTTCTCAAGGTGACATTTGTCCAGCTATCTTACCATGAATAACAAGACTCATTAGCTTTCCAGCCAAAAATATCTGAGTCATTAATATATTTTACCCACCAATTCCACTTAACCACATCCAAAATTAAGTTTTGTTACTAAAGTACCTCACTTATGGTAATACATTCAGAATTATTTAGAATTCTTTTCAGCTGCCTATAACAGAAATCCCAAATAGTGTAAGTTTGCAACTTAAGGTGCGCCCCTTTCTTTACAGAACTATATTTTTGTTTGCTATTTGTCATGTGTGCCCTTTGCCTTCTTTTGTAAACTCTTTTGTTATATTTCTGTAGCTTTTGGAAGCTCTTTCACTTATTTTGGGGCCTAGGTTTTAGGTCTCTCCTTGTTTTGCTGGAAACAGAGTTTGTAATTTTGTTTCTTGACTTACTTGATACTTTCAGAAGATTTCCAGGAAAAAATTATAGAAATACTGTCTCTGTGCCTGGCAAATTCAAACCACAAATTCCATAATCTATTTAAATTCTTAGACTTTTATAGAGCACAAGGCTTTATGGCTGAAAATGGCCAGAAAAACTCAATAAAGTGGGAAGACTAGAAAGATAAAACAATTTATCTCTGATGTGCAGTTTAGACAAACCAGACAGAAAGAGGTCTAAGAAATTGTATTCTTTAAATGCTATTTCCCACATTATTTACTTGAGAAATTCCTCATCTTTTTTTTTTTCAAAACTCAGTTCAGATTTATGCTGTTCTCTATAGTTTTCCTACAAAGCCCCAAACAGAACTGATGACTTCTTCATTTGTTAGTTTTATATCTAACATATATTTCTAGTTTTGGACTCATCATTATTTTAAACACGTATATCTTCTACTAAACTGTGTGTTCTTGGGGGAAAGAGCAAGTAATGAGAAATTGAGCAGCCTTGAAAAGAAGTAGCCTTTTCCCAGGTGCATAAGGCTGAGAAATATATTAAAAACAGAGAGAAAAGTTTCTGCAGAGGCACAGAAGCATGAAAAAGCATAGTATTCCCAGGCATCTTTAGGCTGGAGCATCAAGTATGATTGGTAGAATAATAGATAGTTAAGGCTGTTAAGGTAACATCATAGAGCATTTTAAAGTATGTTAAGAAATTAGCATTTATCATCTTTCCTTAGTTTTAATAGATAGGTGATATTGGGGAATCTACCAAAGCTCTCTGTGCTGTAATTTCCTCAAAAGAAAAATAGTGGTAATAGTAATACCTACCTCACAGGAATTACACAGGAAGTGATCAATACATGTTAGCTACTGTGGTTATGACCGTTGTTGGCAGTATTATCTATCTTCACTGATAGACTGAACTCTGTGACAGAATTTTTAGCCTCCCCAAATGCCTAAAACATTATAGGTACTTAATAATATTTGTTTAAAGGATAAATTATTGTATAAACAATAAAGAAACATTGAATTACCTCAACTACAAAGAAATTGTGAAAATATTTGAAATTTAATAATATATTTGTGGTCATGGCACAGATTTATTGGAAAGAAGACTTAGAAACAAGAATACCACTTAGAAAGCTATTGCAAAGGTTTACATGCCATATGATAACAAATTACATTAAAGCAGTAGCAATAAATATGGACAAACATTGGTGGTTTTTCACATGTGCAATGATTGTGAGGGTCAAGATTCTAGGCTGGAATATACTGCTGGGCTTCAAATCCTGGCCCTTCACTAACATGCGTGTGACCTTAGCAAATTACTACATTTCTCTATGTTTCAATTTCCTTGTCTGTAAAATCAGAATGATATTAATAATTATCCCTTTAGGCATTTGTGAGAATTAAATGAAGTAATGCTTGTTCAATACTTAGCAAAATGCCATGTATATAATAGGTGCGCACTTAATGTTCACTACTATCATTATTATTGCCGTTATTCCTGGTGAGATAAAGAAGTGTTTCAATTTCAGGTGATTCTAATTTGATCTGGATATCATTAATTGAATAAAGAACACAGTGGTCTTACCAGTACAATAATTCATTCAATTTTGAACACCTTCAGTTCCAGGTGTACAAGTAGATATGTTTATGAATATAAATGTAAAGAGAAACGTATAGATAAAAACATACTTATTGGCAGTTAAGAGAAGAAGTCCATTGAGAAGATGAGAAAGTTGAGGATAGAACCTTGGTCAGGGAATAGATGATAAAGCACTGTCAGGCAAGAAGGAGTAAAGAGGAGAAAGAAGTGTCTCCTGTATCAAGTGTAACAGACATAAAAGGGAAGAAGAGGTCTGATGTTCATTTTGAAACAGGAAATATATCGAAAAACTTTACATAGAACCGTTTGAAAAGGTTGGAGCAGACCGCGGATTGCAGTGGTTGGAGGATTGAGTATAGGGCTAAAAGAGAGAGTGGATACAAGTTATCTGTGGTCTTCAATGTTATGACTAGTGTAAGCAAAATACTGAAAACAAAGAGTTATCATGCCTCCAGGGATGGTTGGTCCCAGGAGGCAAAGTTCCAGGGTTCTCAGATAAATTGGTCCAATGAGGAATGGAGAGATCTATAAATTGCTTTGCCCAACTCTAGGCAGAAAATCCAAGAGGAATGAGTGTGGAAAATCACTAAACACCCTCGCTTCCCTTTCTCACTCTTCACTCCCTTCCTAACCCCCATCATGAAGGAAAATCTGGAAATTACGTTACCTTTCACTGAAATATTATTATCTTTCAGCCCACAGGGAACCCAGACTGGTTGGAGGGGACATTCCCTGCTCTGGTCGTGTTGAAGTGAAACATGGCGACACATGGGGCTCCATCTGTGATTCTGACTTCTCTCTGGAAGCTGCTCATGTGCTGTGCAGGGAATTACAATGTGGCACAGTCGTCTCTATCCTGGGGGGAGCTCATTTTGGAGAAGGAAATGGACAGATCTGGGCTGAAGAATTCCAGTGTGAGGGGCACGAGTCCCATCTTTCACTCTGCCCGGTAGCACCCCGCCCAGAGGGGACCTGTAGCCACAGCCGGGACGTTGGAGTAGTCTGCTCAAGTGAGACCCAAAGAACATGTTTAATTTGTTCCCATACTGTGAAGAGGATGGGGTTAGGTAGTCACAGACATCTTTTTTAAAGCCCTATCTCCTTCCAGGATACACAGAAATCCGCTTGATGAATGGCAAGTCTGCATGTGAGGGAAGAGTGGAGCTCAAGATTCTTGGGACCTGGGGATCCCTCTGCAATTCTCACTGGGACATGGAAGATGCCCATGTTTTTTGCCAGCAGCTTAAATGTGGAGTTGCCCTTTCTACCCAAGGAGGAGCACATTTTGGGAAAGGAAGTGGTCAGGTCTGGAGGCACATGTTTCACTGCACTGGGACTGAGAAGCACATGGGAGATTGTCCTGTAACTGTTCTGGGTGCATCGCTATGTTCTGCAGGGCAAGTGGCCTCTGTAATCTGCTCAGGTAAGAGGATAAAGGGCAGCCAATGATGAGCCTCTCCCATGGTGTTGTGCCTTAAGAGCAGCTGTACCTATAGAGATGTAGAACGAAAGTAAAAAGGATGATCTATTTATGGGATCACGAGAAGTGTGCCAGAATATTAACCTCATTTGTCTTTTTAGAGAGAAAGTCAGCTTAATTTTCTTGGACCTTGGGTTACCTAGTGTTTACCATGTGCCAACTCTTCTTAGAGTACCTGGTTCGTTCCCAGCCTGGTTGACCCATCCACCTTCCTCTCTCTCTAAAGCTATGTTTGTCTTCAGCTCATCTAGCTAATGTTCCATCTCACCCCTCTTCCTCACCCTAACTTTTTGTATCTTGTATGACTAGTAGTTTGGTGTTTGCAGGAAACCAGAGTCATACGCTATCTCCATGCAATTCATCATCTCCAGACCCAACAAGCTCTACCATTTCAGAAGAAAGTGCTGTTGCCTGCATAGGTAAGAATCAGTGACCAATATAGGAAAATCATCTCAATCCTTAGGAATGTATTTTATTAATATTTTATTTTCTTTTTCTAGGGAGCGGTCAACTTCGCCTGGTAAATGGAGGTGGTCGCTGTGCTGGGAGAATAGAGATCTATCATGAGGGCTCCTGGGGCACCATCTGTGATGACAGCTGGGACCTGAGTGATGCCCATGTGGTGTGCAGACAGCTGGGCTGTGGAGTGGCCATTAATGCTACTGGTTCTGCTTATTTCGGGGAAGGAACAGGGCCCATCTGGCTAGACGAGGTGGACTGTAATGGAAAAGAATCTCATATTTCGCAATGCCCTTCACATGGCTGGGGACGGCACAATTGCAGGCACAAGGAGGATGCAGGAGTTATCTGCTCAGGTAAGTTCTGCATATAACCTCTGGTCACTATTACATAAGAAAGGCGGGGCAAAGGATAGTGAGGGATGTTAATCTCAGAGAATTCCCTGAAAAGCAGATACAGAGGAAAGTATTGTAAGTCAGGATCCCAGAAGTGTGGATTTGATGGACTAGTGCTACCTCATGTGCAAGGTAGTATAATATCAGAAAGAAAAAAATTCAGAAATGAGCTGGTGTATCATGAAAATGACAACAAAACTAATAATGAGAAGTTCTTTTATAAATATATATAGAACTGGATATTGGGTTCAGTGTACCACGTCATAATCACTTTATTAATAAAGAAATAGATTAAAAGGGACAAGAATAAATACATTCAGTGCTACATTATACAGAAAAAAAGATAATTATCATGCCTATGTAATTTTACTTGGGCTCCTTACTTCTCATAGGAGCAAAACTTACCATAAGAGTCCACAGCTCTTGTTTTGTATACGTGGCAAGCTTTAGAGACTATTGTAAAATAGAAAAATGTACTCAGTTGTAATATATTGAGGAAAACAGTATTATGACTCAGTAACTTAAGGGAGTGAAAAATTCTATATGATAAAAGTGATTTTGAGATCATTCATATTTAATGACATAAATCTGATAGAGAATATACACAGCAAAACTGTGAAATGTCAAAAGCAGAAATATTTTGTTTTAAAGTAATATAAACAAAACATGGGTTTAGTGTCTGAGTACCTCACTAAAATTTAACTATCAAGGACAGTCACAAAAAAGAAAAGAATGGAATAAGTTTCTTAAGGCTACAATTACAGTAATTTAGGGAGAAAAATCCAAAGTATGTAATTGATAAAAGGCTCTGAGCCTTTGATTGAGATTTAAAAGTCAATTTAGAATCATTGGTGGCATCCTAAAGAGGTCCCTAAGTACAAAACTCAAGACTAGAAGACCATAAAATATTTATAGGACAAACGCTATATTTCACTAACATCTACTAAATCATCCAGAACATACTGAAGAATTACTAGTAATTGACATATTGTACCTATTTTTAAAACCATTCTCACCTCAGGGTAAAGGGAAAGAGTCCTCTGAATCTTCAGAGAAGTTATGAAACTACTAATTCTGTATTTCACCCCAGAGTTCATGTCTCTGAGACTGATCAATGAAAACAGCAGAGAGACCTGTGCAGGGCGTCTGGAAGTTTTTTACAGTGGAGCCTGGGGCAGCGTTGGCAAGAGTAACACGTCTGACACCACTGTGGGGGTGGTATGCAGGCAGCTGGGCTGTGCAGACAAGGGGACCATTAGCGCTGCATCTTTAGACAAGACAACGTCCAGGCAGATGTGGGTGGACAATGTTCAGTGTCCGAAAGGACCTGATACATTATGGCAGTGCCCATCGTCTCCATGGAAGCAGAGAATGGCCAGCCCCTCAGAGGAGATCTGGATCACATGTGACAGTGAGTATCCATTGGCCTATATGAAAATTCCATTCTGTAACTCCACTATCATCTTCTGATCTCATTAAGTTGGAATACGTAACTTCTGGTTAATACCTATTTCACCTGAATGGCGTAATTGGTTTTATTTAATTTAGCCAGTATGTATTCAGGATTAGTGATCATTTTTCCAAAGAATGTTGTACTTCCCGCGGTCTTCTTGAAAGTTTTACTCAAGTGTTTTCTCTGTGAACAAATGAGGAGCAGAGAATATGTGATTCAGTGTTTGACTATTGAATGGTCTACCTTACCTTTTCCGTTTTTGTTTCAAGTATTATCTTGCTACACTAATATAAGGAGAGAAGCAGTCAGAAAGATCAATCCTAAGTACTACCGATTTTCCATCTTCTTAAACTGAAAGATTTCTATATACCTAGAAATCTCTCAAGTTCTTTTCTATTTGAAAGAACTTAACATTATAAAATGTTAACTTTATTCATTTGGTATTTCCTGATGAACACTAATGCTCTTATGTCCAGGATGAAATATACCCCGTTCGCTGAAAAGACATGCGCTTTCATAAAAGATGAATTTTGTTAACATATATATTTTAAATGCAAATTAAATAAGCAAATTTTAAAATAGAGATTTAAAAAAAGGGTTTCAAATCTCTTTTTTGACCTGTGACCTCTTAGAAACTTTTATCTTCTCAGAAATTGCCTAGTTATCTCTGATTTTTCAGACAAGATAAGACTTGAAGAAGGAAACACTACTTGTTCTGGACGTGTGGAGATCTGGCACGAAGGTTCCTGGGGGACAGTGTGTGATGACTCTTGGGACTTGAACGATGCTCAGGTGGTGTGTCGACAGCTGGGATGTGGCCCAGCTTTGGAGGCACTAAAAGAGGCGGCGTTTGGTCAAGGGACTGGGCCCATATGGCTCAATGAAGTGAAGTGCACAGGGAATGAGTCTTCTTTGTGGGATTGTCCTGCCCGATCCTGGGGGCACAGTGACTGTGGGCACAAAGAAGATGCTGCTGTGAGGTGCTCAGGTGAGTGCCAGTAACTTGGATTAAGCTTGAAATCTCCAGCAGTAAAGAGGAGGTGGGCAGTGAAGTGCCTTGTGTAAAGACTGGCCGTATCAACACAGGGATCTGGTGGGGAGAGAATCATGATGTTTCACTCTGAAGGAATGATGAAAACATTTGTTGTTATACACTGGCCTTCACCGAGGAAAAGAGTATAACTTATATGCATCCCTGTGCAGAAGGAAGAAAGACTAGGGGACTAGTTTTAGGTGGGAAAGAATAGTTAACTTGGTTGAGAGGCATGGAAGGCTCAGACAGAAAATAGAAATATTTGTTCTATATATTACTCCCAAAATTGAGTCTCCTTCTCTTTTCTCTTACAGTACCTGAAAAAGAATCATCAAATGCCACAGGTATATCATGGGGTTTATGAGCATGGGGCCAATTGTCTGCATTATTTAGAATCCTTGTCATTTAGAGAGTTTGGGTCAGAAGAAGTTCTGAGGATTTGAAATTTACTTCAGTAATTTTGTATCTGACCTAAGAAAGGGATAATAACTAGGGATCTGGGTCTTTTGGCTAAGACATTATCATATCTTGTGACATTTACTTGTGCTTAGGTCACTCATTCCTTGTTATACTTGGGATTCTCGGGGTAATTCTGTTGGCCTTTCTCATCGCACTTCTCCTGTGGACTCAGAAGCGAAGACGGAGACAGCGGCTTACAGGTCTGAGCCAAATTATGGTCTCCCTAACATTTCCATGGGAAAAGAAGGTTCTTGGGACAAAAAACAAAAACAAAAAGTATTAAACTCAAGTATCAAATGGCCAGAAAGATGGAGCCTAGAAGAGGTTTAAGCAGTTTCTCAGAAAAAAGGAAACAAGATTTCAGAGGAAAAAAGGGTCCTTTGTTGTATTGATGATGATTCCTGTACTATATCTACATATTTAATAGTGACGTTATACAATTGATAATTTAGAATGAATATGCGTATATGATTTAGGATGACTCCTTTATTGCCCAAACGTTTATTTGCTCTTACTATATAGTAACTACTAATTTTACTGTTCTGTCAAGCAATATGCTAAGCTCTGAAATTACAGACACGAATAATCAAGTGTTTTTGTCTTCCTGGAATTTCAAGTCTAGTAGAAGAGATATATATGTAAAAAAATAAACTGCAATATAGTGTTATACATTAATAACAATAAGGAACAAAAGCATCACAGAGAAGAGAGTAATTAAAAGAACTAGGGGAGTATCGGAGGCTTCTCGGAGGGTTTTAAGACAAATTTTGAAGATAAGGTTGAAAGAACTGGGTAAGGTGTCTTATAGGGAAAGAGAAAAATAAGTATAAGTGTAGAGAAGCTTAACGGATGGCACATTTGTTGTCTTAAGAGAAAGTAGAAGTTGAGTTCAAGGAGGGAATCTACTGATAAGGCTGGAGAAGAGGGAAGGAACAAATTTTATAGTTCTGTATTCTGGTCAGAAGATTAATAGTCACTAAAGAGTATTATGTGGGGGAGAGAAATAGTCAAGATGTCACTTTGAAAGTTCTGTTAGGCAACAGGATGTATGAGGGGTTAAAGGAGGATCTCATCATTGACCAGATAGCATTTTGAAATAGTTGAGATGAAAGATGAAAAGGACTTCATAGGGAGAATGAAGGGGAGAGGATAGATTTTAGGGAAATTTTAGACAAAGCTCCAATGAATTAGAGAAGACTGCTGGCTTGCCTAGGGGGAAGAAACTGGGTTATTATATGATGGCAATGGGGAGGTTTAGCTTCATCCTATTGCATTTGTGTATGTGGCATTATAGGGGAAAAGCTTGGTAGCAGAATGGGATGGAAACAAGACAGTAGCATGGATAAAGATTAGGTATCTCTGCACCACTGGGAAAAAGCCCACATAGGGAGGAGAAGTTTTATTGTGATCTGCTGATCCCTAACCTAGGACCTCTGTTTTCAGTTTCCTCAAGAGGAGAGAATTCTGTCCACCAAATTCAATATCGGGAGATGAATTCTTGCCTGAAGGCAGATGATCTGGACCTGCTGAATTCCTCAGGTCTGTGAGTTCTTTGAGGGTATAGTACTAAATGAAACTAAAAATTATTTTTAGAGAACATAAAAATTGCAATCATGGGGAGACCTCTGGCTAAGAGGCCTGTGATTATTTTTCACTGAGGTACAAAGAACCATACAGCAGAATATTATGACTTGGACTTCATTTTATTAAAACAGAAATTAATCTTCTAAAAAGTAATTTAGCTTTTCATATCTCTTTCACAGTTTTTTCCATTTACACTTCCTGCTACTTTCCTTTCTCTAACTTGGTATTTATTATATTTTTTTCTAAAAGTCTAACAGCTTAAACTTTCTATATCTTTATCCCAACAGAAAGAATAGCTATTCACAGCTACCTTATTTCCCATTACATAATGCTTCTTTCGTTGTCCTTTGGCTTCGGTTTAGCACCAGTGCACTAATTCTGCCTCTCAGTAGCATAACTCTGCTGGGTTGGAAGAAATATCCCAATATCTGCTTACTCCGTGAAAGTTCCATGCCTTCTCAATATTCCTTACCTTCTGAGATGGGCCTGCCTCACTTCTTCAATCCAAGGGATTTGGTATTTGCTGCAAGTATGTCAGGAAAACATATTTAAATCATGGGAAGGACTTCCTATGCCTCCTCAATGTCATTTATTTGCCTTCTTAATTGTGGACAGTGTCTTTAAATGTTCAAAGAGCTTCTAAGGCACTTGAGGGAAGTTCTGATTTATTTCCCAGAAAATTTTTCTTCCTTTCAGAAAATCCCAATGAGTCAGATGGTTTTAATGCTACTGGACTAATTTCTGTGTCTTAATCTCTTCCTATTTCTGGATGAAAAAGAGGACCATTGAGGTACACTGAGGTATACTGAAAAGGAAAATGGGAATCTATTACCCAGTGAGGTGAATAAGGAGAATTTATTCATTATTGTTCAAAACTGGTACATTCCTTTTGAAAATGGAGAATTCCTCTGGTATTAGAAGGAAAGAAAGAATGTATATACACATATATTTACCTATATATGTATATATGTTTATGTATATTTATGTATATCCATATTCAGAATATATAACAGCTTTTTATCAATATGTCTCTTATCCAGTTACATATATATTCTAATCAATAACAAAGGTACATCATGGAGCTAAGGAGAAACTGGGTAAATAAATATGAATAAATGGTTTAAAGACATTATAGGGATCATTTTAGGAAACAGATAAGGCGTATCTACAATTGTATAATGCATGCTATGGTAAAGATAGTATAAAATACTATGGGAATACAGAAAATTTGCCGAAGAAAGTTCGGGGAGATTGTGAAGAAGATGTGATGTTCAAGTTAAACATCAGATGACTGAAAGACCATTCTAGAGAAAGGACACAGCATGTTCAAAATACGGGGGCATAGAAGATAACCACACCTTTGGGGAACAGTAAGCAGTTTTTCACTCAAATGCATATACAGAGCATATTTATGGTGACAGGTGATGTACTGAGCATTGAAGATACAGAGATAAAAGATTCTATTGACAAAGACGTGATTGTTTAATGAAAGATCTCAGTCTATATGTGGCAATAATGCAGAGGTTTGTGGAGACAGGGTAAGTGACGAGAATCTAAGCTGAAAAGGATACAGACAGCCCTATAGTGAATGTTCTTATCTGCTATACTTCACGCTCACATTTTATTTTACGGACTGTTGGGGAGGTGGTGGGCTTTGGAAGATTAAGCTGGGGCAAGACATGATCAGATTTGACTTTTATAATTTGCTTTCACGAGGAAAGTGTATAACAAAAGAAGAGAAAGTAAACAAAGCAAGAAATTTAAGTCACACATCAAAAAGAAAAAATGGTTAAATGAGTTAGTGGACACGTTTTCCAATTTTTAAAAAATACAATTTTGGGAGGACTATACATTTAGAAATGATATGTGGAAAAAGCATGTTTTTTAATAGAAATCTTATATATAACATATGAGAAATACAGATTGAGACAAAGGATAAAAGTTGGAACTCTTGAAAGTATATAAATATAAAGTGTTAACATTGTATATATACACATATACAAATAGAGCTCTTATAAATTGTATATAGCATGAAAAGGACTGATATATGTATATGATATATATATCTATATATATTATCAATTGTTAAAACAAAGACAGCATCTAACGGATAATTGGGCAAAGCTATGAAAAGACAATTCACACAAAATGAATTTCAAATGACAAATACGGTCATGTGCTGCATAAAGACATTTTAGTCAATGATGGACCACATATATGACGGTGGTCCCATAAGATTAGTACCAAATAGCCTAGGTGTGTAGTAGGCTATACCATCTAGGTTTGTGTAAGTAAAGTCTATGTGATGTTTGCACAACGACGAAATCGCCTAATGACGCATTTCTCAGAAAGTGTCCACGTCGTTAAGCAACACACGACTATAGACATTCAAAAAATGCTCAAATTCACCAGTATGTCTAGCAGTTCAAATTATGATTAACAGTAATATATTGCTTTATATAAATCAGACTGACAAAAATTAAAAACAGCACCAATATTTATTGCTGGTGAGAATACAGAGAAAAATGTAATTTCAAACATTGCTATCGGAAATGAGAGGTATGGGAGCCTTTGGAGAAAGCAATCTGAAAACTTCTATTAAAATTTTTTTTAAAGTCTTCACGGATTCTTTGACCTGACAATTCTACCCCTGAGAATTTCTTCCATACAGATAAAGCCACTACTATGTAAGAACATACGTATACATATGAGGATTCCTTTTTGCAGCATTGTTAGTAATGGCAAAAAAAGCTGGAAACAAAGTGAATGCCAATCAGTGGAGTAGTGGCTGGAAAAATTATGGTGCAGCCAAGCAAAAAAGAAAAATCGTCCACAAAAATGCAATGATATCATGCCATTTGTGTGCTCTGTTATTGAATATAACTAAATATAGTGTTTACACCTATAAAATTATACATGTGTATATGTATAAAGAAACATTTAAAAATTCTAACAGCATTGTAAACTGAGGAGGACTATGAATGACTTTTGATTTATAATCTCAAATATATGAATATTATTCTGATGTAATAAATTATGCTTAAACTACTTTTTCCTTGAAAAGTAATCACTGCTGAATCACTGCTTCAGAATCAGATGAGGGTGCTTTTAAAAGTGACATTTCTGGGTACCACAGTAGTTCTATGGAATAGAAATAAATCTTACGCACACTGAAGTTTGAACATCATTGCATTTATGGGGCCAGCCCGGTGGCATAGTGGTTAAGTTTGCACACTGCTTCAGCGGCCCAGGGTTCACAGGTTCGAATCCTGGACGTAGACTGATGCACCACTCATAAAGCCATGCTGTGGCAGCATCCCACATACAAAATAGAGGAAGATGGGCATGGATGTTAGCTCAGGGCCAATCTTCCTCAGCAAAAAAAGAGGAAGATTGGCAACATATGTTAGGTCAGGGCCAGTCTTCCTCATCAAAAAAAAAAAAAATCATTGCCTTTAAGTTTTCTTTTCAGGAAAGGAATATGCTTTTTAATATATATGAGTGCGTCTGTGTGTGTGTGTGTGATAATGTAATGTAATACATTATATTCTTCTATAATGTAGTTCTTCTATGTGTGTGTATGTGAAGAGGAAAATAACATTTTTTTCTATTTATGGATTTAGTTCAGCCTTTATGATACTGTGATGAAGAATGGACTATTGAATGGACCAAGAATCCACCTCGTTCACTGAAGACTACAGTCCTTTGTCTCCTAGTATTCCAAAGACCACTGCTGAATTTATAAAAATTAAACAGTGAATGTGACTACTAAGAGCTGTGTATAAGACTTTCAAGGGGGTTAAACAAAAAGGAATATTGTTAATTTGAATTTGTCTTAAACTTGTTCTTGATTTTATGAATTCGTGAATGGGCTTTCTGACTTTTTTAGGGTTTCCAAAATATAATATGATGACTTTTCATTTGATAATATTTTCATTTGCATATAATATATATTTTTCTAGTTTGGTTTAAATAATAATTTTCTTCTTATTACCAAATAAAAACAAATTTATTTTTCCTTTAGTTTTCTTAAGAAAGGGAAAGTTAATGATTATTGAATGGTTTGTTAATAATATATGGTTATCTCTGAAAGGTGTGACTCTCATTGGTTCTTTAACCAAAAATTATCTAATCATTTATTCTTTCATTCAACAAAACTTACTGACCACCTACTGTTTGTCAGTTACTGTGCATTAAATACCCAACTATATGCCATGTACTGTGCACCCAATTATATCAGGTATTATATATGTGTGTAAATATATATAAATCTCCAATTACAATATACACACCTAGGAACCCCACCTATATGATAATTAACATGAATCTTTTTGTTCATATTTTAAAGTGACATATTCTATATTTTATATTTTGTTAATATTTTGAAGTAAAAGTATCATATTCTGTAATATGAAATAGAGTCTTTGCCTACATTTAGATTTATTTTACCAAAATTGTGTATCAGACATCAATTGTTAAAATACCTCCTTATTAATACATTAGTAGAAGGTAAATGAAAATTGTGATGGTACTCAGAATTTCCACCATTGTTTGAGAGAGTATTAGTAGTAGTGCTCCCCTCTCCTTTTATTGCTCAACATGTCTGTTAGATGGTAAAACTCTACTCCACGTAATAATAGTTAATACGTTGTATTTACTATGCACCAGACAATGCTTTAAATGTTTTACATGGGTTAACAGCTTAATCCTCACAATAACCTGACAAGTACATACTATTTTATACTTTCTTTAGATTTGGGAAAACTAAAGGACAGAGAGGTTAAATGACCTGGCTAAAGGCATAAAACTAGTAAGTGACAGAGCCGAAATTTGAAGCCAGGTACTCTGGCTCTAGAGGCCATGCTCTTAACCATCATGTTATATAAATATTGCCTTTCAAAATGAAATACAGTTTATATGGGACCAAAACATTTCCAACTTTCATTATCTTATACCCACTTAAGGGTAATTTGTGATACTTTTACTGTTTGCGGAGAATCAATTTACTTTGATGAAACAAGGGCAAGAATAGAGTATGGACCACCTCACCATACTCATCAAATCTATATGAGCAGGGGCCTGCCCTGTGGCTTAGCAGTTAAGTGCATGTGCTCCGCTACTGGCTGACCCGGTTCTGATCCAGGCGCACACCGACGCACCGCTTGTCCGGCCATGCTGAGTTGGTGTCCCACATACAGCAACTAGAAGGATGTGCAACTATGGCATACAACTATCTACTGGGGCTTTGGGGAGAAAAAGGGGGGGAAAAAAAAGGAGGAGGATCGGCAATAGATATTAGCTCAGGGCCAGTCTTCAGCAAAAAGAGGAGAATTGGCATGGATGTTAGCTCAGGGCTGATCTTCCTCACACACACACACACACACACACACACACACACACACAAATCTATATGAGCAAAATTGTCCTATCAACTTTTGCCTCAGTGTCTGCTCCAAATCTATCTGTGTCTAGAGTCTCAAATTTTCTCATCTTTCATGTCTATGTCACTTGGCCACTTAAATCATCTAGTTAAAAAATAATGTTTTTTGGAAGAGGATGTATTTTAGAAATGGATATATTTACCTTTTCCCTCTTAACTCTTGGATTACTTTCCTTTCAATGACTGCAGACTTCTCTCCTCTGTCAGCCAATAAAAACTCAATACATCTGTTCACTATTAGCGTCTCTCTCTCTCTCAATACCTCTCATTCTCTCACTCTCCCTTTCTCTCCCTTTCTCTCATAAGTTGTCATATAACAGTCCTAACATTTTTTGTTAATTTATTCCTAAATGGTTTGTGATTTTTTGTACTATAAATATCTTTTTTTCTTCAAATTTTTAACTGGGTTATTGCTAATATGATCTAAATTTCTGATTCTCTTGAAAAATTAGGAGATGTGGAAACATTGGGCCATCATTCCAACATGACAGCAGTGAGCAGGGGTTAAGTAGCCCCTTCCTCCTATCGGTAGGACACGTGCTTGCCATTTTACCAGATCCGCTCTCAGCCCACTTCATGCATTTGCATTACCTGCCTGGCCTCTATAGGCAAAAGCATTTACTGAGGAGTGGGTGAATCGTAAATACAGATGCTGACATTACCTGGATGAAACAGGACTATGCCTTCAGCTTGGTGCTACTATTGACTCTATGGCCTCACCAGTTCAGTCCATAAATAGGACCTCTCCTGCCTGACTTGCAGACCTTCCGAGGTCCTCCTAGCCCTGGATGCTCTTTTGTAATCTGCTCTCAGCCTCTCAGATCAGAAGTAAATGCCATGTCCTCCCACCTAACCACCTCCTCCACAGTCTTCCCTTCCTGCTGCTCTTCCTACCACCAGGGTGGTACCATTGTTGTCTGACAAATTGAGAGCCCAAAGGGCTGTAAATATTCCTATCATCCACATTTGCATATCTTTTCTACTTTCCTCTAAATGTCTGCCAGTTAGGAGGAAAAGTTCTAAAACCAAAAAATTTTTTTATATCTCTGGCTTTATAATTTCTCACTTCTTCTTTGCCATGATGTAGTTTACCCCAAATTTCTGCAGCACCATCTATAATGATGCCATGTAAATTATAAGGAAGGAAAAAAGAACTTCTCCTCCACCCTAAAAAATTCTTGACTTATATTGTGACCACACTGGACTGTAAAAACCTCAGAGAAAGATTTCTAAAGAAGGATTGTATTATGACAAGAAACTTTTGTTATACATATCTCTGTGATTTGCAATAATATCATAAATCCTCCCTATAGACTGTGTTTGCATTCACAGGTGTAGAAGAGCTTGCTCATTTGCCTGTTTTCAGCATATTTCCTCAAACATTTTATAAGCACAGCTTTCACAAAGATACATTTCTCATTTCCCTTTTTTACTTTTTAAAAATTATTTTATTGAGGTTACATTGGTTTATAACATTGTGTAAATTTCAGGTGAGTGTCATTGTATTTTGGCTTCTGTATAGACTGCATCATGTTCACCACCAAAGGTCTAGTTTCCATCCATCACCATACATATGTGCCTCTTTACCCCCTTTACCTTCCCCTTACCCCCTTCCCCACTGGTAATCACCAATTTATTCTCCTAATCTATATGTTTGTTTTTTTGCTTGTTTTTTTATCTTCCACGTGAGTGAAATCATGCAGTATTTGCCTTTCTCTGTCTGACTGATACCCTCAAAATCCATCCACATTGTCGCAAATGGCATGATTTTGTCTTTTTTGTGGCTGAGTAGTATTCCATGGTATATATATATATATATACCACATCTTCTTTATCCATTCATCTGTTGATGTACCCTTGGGTTGCTTCCAAGTTTTGGCTATTGTGAACAATTATGCAGTGAACATAGGGGTGCATATATCTTTTTAAATTGGTGTTTTCATGTTCTTTGGATAAATACCCAGAAGAGGAATAGCTGGATCAAATGGTATTTCTATTTTTAATTATTGCAGAAGTCTCCATACTGTTTTCCATAGTGGCTGCACCAGTTTGCATTCCCACCAGCAGTGTATGAGGGTTCTCTTTTCTCCACATCCTTTCCAACCCTTGTTATTTCTTATATTGTTAATTATAGCCATTCTGATGAGTGTAAGGTGATATCTCATTATAGTTTTGATTTGCATTTCCCTAATAATTAGTGATGTTCAACTTCTTTTCATGTGCCTGTTGGCCAACTGTATATCTTCTTTGGAAAAATGTCTGTTCGTATCCTCTACCCATTTTTCGATTGGGTTGTTCATTTTGTTGTTGTTGGGTTATATGAGTTCTTTATATATTTTGTAAATTAACTCCTTATCAGACACATGATTTGCAAATATTTTCTCCCACTTGGTGGGTTGCCTTTCATTCTGTTGATGGTTTCCTTTGCTGTGCAGAAGCTTTTAGTTTGATGTAGTCTCGTTTATTTTTTCTTTTGTTTCTCTTGCCTGAGGAAACATGGTGTTCAAAAAGAAACTGCCAAGACTGATTTCAAAGAGCATGCTGCCTATATTTTCTTCTAGTAGTTATATGGTTTCAGGTCTCACATTCAAGTCTTTAATCCATTTTCAGTTAATTTTTGTGTAAAGTATAAGATAATGTTCTACTTTCATTCTTTTGCATGTTGCTGTCCAGTTTTCTTAGCACCATTTATTGAAGAGACTTTCCTTTCTCCATTGTGTGTTCTTGGCTCCTTTGTGGAAAATTAGCTGTCTGTATATGTGTGAGTTTATTTCTGGGCTTTCAATTCTGTTCCATTACTCTGTGTGTCTTTCTGCCAGTACCATGCTGTTTTGGTTACTACAGCTTTGTAGTATATTTTGAAGTCAAGGATTATGATACCTCAAGCTTTGTTCTTTTTTCTTAGGATTGCTTTGGCTATCCGAGGCCTTTTGTTGTTCCATATAAATTTTTGGATTCTTTGTTCTATTTCCTTGAAGAATGTCATTGGGATTCTGATTGGGATTGTATTAAATCTGTAGATTACATTAGGTAACATGGACATTTTAACTATGATTATCCTTCCAATCCATGAGTACAGAATATCTTTGCATTTCTTTCTGTCTTCAATTTCTTTCAATAATGTCTTATAGTTTTCAGTGTATAAGTCTTTACCTCCTTGGTTAAATTTATTCCTAGGTATTTTATTCTTTGTTGTGATTGTACATGGAACTGTATTCCTGATTTTTCTTTCTTCTAGTTTGTTGTTAGTGTACAGAAATGCAGCTGATTTTTGTATGTTGATTTGGTATCTTGTAACTTTATTGTGTTCATTAATTATTTCTAATAGTTTTTTGATGGATTCTT